TCAGAAAGCAAACAACAAACGTGATCAAAATAAACAGTCAAAATGATAAAATCATAAGTCACAATAAGAGATCAGACTAAGATCACTTCAGCTCTGATCTCCGGCCTCTCCCCTTTGTTTTTCATTGCAGGCAGCTAGATTTACTCACAGTTTGGGTTTGGCTGCCTGGGAATTGCTTTTATCTGATTCAGCTTAGGGGTGGGGCTTTGTCTCCTGTTTAGTGACATTACCTTAGGAACTGAGGTGGAGTTTGTTGATAGATGGCAGGGCAATAGAAATCTCTGCCTGGAGAAAGGCAGAGGCAGATTCTCTTTCGTAGATCCCTTCCTCTCTGCTTCTCTGGGTCCCCAAGCTTGTGATCACGTGCTGAGTGCCTCAGCTCCAGAGCTCAAGCTCCAACGGGCAGGCAGTGAGCAGTAAGAGTGGCCCTGGGCCCCCCAGAGGGTACTTCAGCCAAGAATGGGACTGGTGTCTCTGGGGGGCGAGCACCCAGAGCCTCCCTGAGTGACAGGCGGCTTGGTGCTGGGTGCCAGGCGAGAGACGATGTATCCAGGGAGCAAGCTGAGACCCGAGACTCCCATGCACGTGGTGGAACAGCAGCAGCAGGGGGCCACAATATCTGGCCCTGCATGGGACTGAAGGTCCCCAGGCCTCAGACCAGCACGGCTGGTGGTGGGCTGGGGGATGGAGAAACAAAAGTAAGAGTCTTTTTGGGAATTCATGTTCAGAGAATCTCACAAGTTCACCTATGCCGTCGCCATCTTGTTCCCCCTCTGTTTTCTGTGTTTTTAACAGTTTGAGTTAGTTCTATATTTTGGTCCTCAAGCTCTGAGATTCTTTCTTCTGCTTGGCTAATTCTGCTTTACATGCTTATCAGTTTGTTATTTATTTCATTCACAGTATTCTTTATTACTGTTATCTCGGTTATCAGCTCCTTCCTAGTTTCTTCTTGTCTCTCCTCAATTTTTTTTAATCTCTCCATTAACGTCTTGATATCTAGGTTTGTTGTTTGAGACCACACATTCTGGGGGCTCTTCATTGTTTTCATTCCAAAGTCAGTTTTCTCAGTGTCTGCACTCCCAAGGGTCTGGGAGAGACCCATATTTTTCTTTTGGTTTTTCTCCATTTGTGTAGATTTTTCTCTCTCTCCCCTTTTCCCTCCCCTTCTTTAATTCTGTTTTTCAGGGAAGGTGGGGTTGCTTTTACTTCACTTGTGCAATCTCCTGTTCTTCCTTATGAAGGTCCTCTAGCTTTGTTCACTTTTGAGACTGGACTGTGGGTTAGGGGCTGTACTTTTTGCAGTTTTGAGGTTTAATTGAGGGGGAAGCTGTGATTCAGAATCTGTATGCTGATTCCAGCATCCACCAACAGGTGTATGAGCACACTGGAACCTATTTCCCACTGCCTTACAATCTGTCTGTGCAGCGAGACAGATTTGGTCCTGGAACAAAAGGAGGTACGAAAGAGGAAAATAATGGAGGAAGGGGGGGTCAATAGGAAGTTAGAAAGAGAGAAGAGTGAGAGGGAAAACAGGCATACATACCAACTAACAGGTGAAAAAGAGATACAAGTCCAGAGAGAAGTGAAAATAAAAAACACGCAAGCAAAATTCCCTAAAGAATACTGGTAGCTACAGAAAGACAGACCAAAAAAATCATGCCTTTTGATGCATTTTCCCTAACACAAACAGTTAGCATAAGTCAAAAAGCAAACAAAAGTGAGCAAAACACACAGTCAAAATGATAGAATCAAAAGTCAAATTAAGAAATCAGAGTAGCTTTGGAATCTTTCCTGAGTGTCTAAAATCTCTTCAGCTCTGATCTCCAGCCTCTCCCCTTTGCTTTCATTGCAGGCAGCTAGATTTACTCGCAGTTTGGGTTTGTTCTTTTAGCCTGCTGCCTGAGAGGTCTGTGATGCTTAGTTGCCTGTGTCTGATTCAGCGTAGGGGGAGGGGATTTGTCTCTTGTTTAGCAATGTTACCTTAGGAACCAAAGTGGAGACTGCTCGTAGGTAGGCAGGGCGATGCAAATCTCTGCCTGGAGAATGGCCGAGGTGGCAGCCCCTCTTTCGCAATCCTTTCTCTCTGCTCGTCTGGGTCCCTGGGTGATCCACTATGATGGGCTGTGGTGGCATGTGAGGCACCGGGGATCAGCTGCACAGCTGGGTGCTGGATCCGGGGTGCCACCAGCAGGCTGGGATGGAGGAGGGAGTCAGGAATTCCCTCCTCTGGAGCTGAGACCCTGTGATCAGCACCTCCTTAAGATATGCTGTTCTCTTACACAAGCTTGGGGTCGAGCGCTGAGTGCCTCAGCCAAGGTGGGCCCAGAGCTCCAGAGCTCCAAAGCTCCAAAAGGCAGGCAGTGGGCAGCGAGAGTGGCCCTGGGTTCCTCACAGGGTACTTCAGCCAGAAATGGGACCGGTATCTTTGAGAGGCAGGCTCCCAGAGCCTCCCTAAGTGACTGGCAGCTTGGTGCTGGGTCCTGGGTGAGATGATGTAGCCAGGGAGGGAGCCGAGACCTGAGATTCCCGCACAGGCAGGGGTCACATATAGTGGAGCAGCAGCAGCGGGGGGCTGCAATATCTGGCCCTGTGTGGGACCAAGGGTCCCCGTGCCTCGGACTGGTGCCCCTGGCGGTGAGCAGGGGGGTGGGGGAAGAAAAGTAAGAGTCTTTTTGGGAACTCACGTTCAGAGAATCTCACAATTCCACCCATGCCATCACCATCTTACCAGAACTCCCAGCTCTTCTTTAAAAATCTCCCTAAGATGTTGCTCCGCCCCCCTTCCCCCCACCAGGAAATTATTAGCGTTTTCTTCCTCCAGAGGAAACTTGACACTCCTCTATTCCTGGGCTTGTCACACACTATTCATATAGTTTTCCCACAGAATGTTGGCCACTCAAGAACAGTGACTGCTCTCTTTATTTTTCTTCCTCCAGGTCCCATTGAGAACATGGGGGATGGGAAACGTTACGACACGGTTTTTAAAATTGTGGAGAACTATTGATATATGAGGCATAAAATCAATTTAGTGGAGCAAAACTAACTTTATCCCCCCTGAAAACAAAAATAGAATAGAAAAGATCAGTGTGCTTTCCGTGTGCTAAGGGCTTGTCCATGAAACTTTATTTCTTTCATATATAGATTCATAAATGTGTGCTTTATATGTGTGTATATTTACACATATGCATCCTGGGTAATGATGGAAAATGCATTTTAACTGTAGATTACATTTTTTTTTAAGTTTAAGAATGACTGAATTAGGATATAGATTTGGCTTCTAGAATAGAGAAACAACAATGGATTAAGATAATATAAATTCACACCCACGTTCATAGCAGCATTATTCACAAAAGCCAAGAGGTAGAAGCAGCCCAAGTGTCCATCAAAGATAAACAAAATGCAGAAGATCTGTACAATGGAATATTATTCAGCTGTAAAAAGAAAGGGAATTCTGACACATGCGACCACATGGATGAACCTGGAGGACATGATGCTGAGTTTAAAAGGCCAATCACAAAAACGCAAACGTTGTATGATTCTACGTATACGAGTTATCTAGAATAGTGGGAAGTCACAGAGACAGAAAGTAGAATGGCGATGGCCAGAGGCTAAGGGAGGGGAATGGAGAGTTGTTTAATGGATACAGAGTTTCAGTTTTGCAAGATGAAGAAGTTCTGGAGAGTATCTGTGCAACAATATGAATATATTGAACACTACTGACTATATACTTAAAAATGGCTGGGCTGCTAAATTTTATATTATGTGTAATTTACCCCAATTACATTTTTAAATGGACAGTAACAGACATAATAGAGGTTTATTTCTTTCTCAGGTTAAAATACATAAGTTGGACTTCACAGAGCCCTTAGGATTCCAAACTCCTTCCATGTTGTTTGCTCTGTTATATCTAGAACGATGCATTGTCTGTTGGTTTTTCTCCAGGATGGCTCACCACTAGAGCGGCCTACCAGGAAAGGAAAGGCGGAAGGAAGCACTTGCCTTCTCTTTAAGGACTTGTTCCAAGCATTAAACATTACTTCATTCTAGCCAGAATGTAGCCACACTTTGTCACAAGGGAGTCTGAGAAACGTATTCTTTAACTGGATAACCAAGTATCCAAACTAAAAACTCTGTCACTCCAGAAAAAGAGGAAAAGAGATGTTGGCGGACTGTTACCATTTGTGCCATTTGTTGCGTGCTCGCCTAAATCAGTTGATATAAACCTCAAAACATACTTAAGATGAAAGTAGATTTAGCCTCATGAATCAGATGAGGAGACTGAGGTTCAAAGAGTTTAAGTGACATGCAACAGTAATGTTGTAGAGGAAGAGTTTGCAACCAGATTGTTCTTATATCAGGGTCCACTTTCCACTCTTAAATATCTCTCTATAGTTCTGCTATGGTCTAAATAGCTGTGCTCCTCCCACTCAAATTCATATGTTGAAACCTAATTACCAGTGTGATGGGATTAGGAAGTGGGTGGAACCTTTGGGAGGTGATTAGCCCTCATCAATGGGATGAGTGCCCTTGTAACAGAGACCTCAGAGAGCTGCCTTGCCCCTTCCACCATGTGAGGACAGACTGAGGAGATGCCATCTATAAACCAGAAAGTGAGTGTAACCAAACAGTGACTCTCCTGATGCCTTGATCTTGGACTTCCCAGGCTCCACAGCTGTGAGAAATTCGTTTCTGTTGTTTATAAACTCCCCAGTTCGAGATATTTTATTATAGCAACCCGACTAGACCAAGACAAGATCCTATTATGACCTTAGCCACGTTGACCCTAGTTATTTCATTCCTTAGCCTAACCAGGGTCAAAGAGAATTATGGAGTCAGCGGTTTTCTAAACAAGCCCTTTGAAAGGTTAAGAAGCATTTTATTTCTTTGAAACCTGGTCACGAATTGAAATACAACAAATGAGATCTTGGAGACCATTCCTACATCTTGAAGGAATGCATAAACGTTAGAAAAAAAAAAAACAACTTTCTCTTCTTTTCCAGAAAAAGTCCACGATGAGATTGACAGAGTGATTGGCCGGTGGCAGCAGCCAAGCACAGCCGCCCGGGAGTCCATGCCCTACACCAACGCCGTCATCCATGAGGTGCAGAGAATGGGCAACATCATCCCCCTGAACGTTCCCAGGGAAGTGGCAACTGACACCACTTTGGCTGGATACCACCTGCCCAAAGTACGTAGGCACTCTCAGCCTTAGATCTTCAAACCCCTCTTTTAACTGTGGAAACTTGAACTTGAGAAGTGACATGTATTCTTGTCCTGATAAATCACTTAAACGGGGAAGAAAGATATATTAGACTCATTATAATACTTTTTTTCTCCATGTGTGGTCTTGAGAGCATCAGTTTGACTAGATACTAGTATGTATTGTGGGGAGTGAAGGAGGGAGAACTCCCAGGTCACATATCTTTATGCAAAGACTGGCTTTTCTTTGCTGTACAGCTTCTCAGCATTTTTACTACGCCGATTTACATGTGAATCTTTGTGGCCACACAGAAGGCAGAAATTCTAGGCCAGAATTTGCCCCATAACCCTTTTCTTTGACTTGGTAGAGCATCCCATCAGACTAGGGACCTGCTAGACTTTGGCAAATTCTGCTTCATAATCCTGGGTTTATAGAATATTAAAATATGAAAGGACGTTTGAGACAGGACATTTGAGACCACCTGGGCCAACGTTACATTAATGATGTGTTTTTAGCATAACAGCCCCACAGGTATTTTTCCATCTTTTACTTACAGCCTCACAATGGCGAACTTACTATCTCACAAGAAAGCCAATCCAAGTGTGTACAAGATTATTAAGAAGGGACAGAATGGAGCAAATGCTTATTTAACAATAATTATGTGTCACGGACTATCTGGGCTTTTTCAAAATGCCTTACTCGGTTTTCAGAATAACTGTTATTCCCAGTTTATGGATTGGGAAGCCAAGGCTCAGAGAACTTAAATTTGCATGAAATCTCTCAACTGCAAAGTGAAAGAGGTAGGATCCAGAACCAGATCTGTTCTGATTTTTTGTGTGTGCTTCGCCACGATCCTTCCATGGGAGTTGCTTTACTTTGATTTTAAAAGCATCTCCCTGCAGTTTTTCTCACTTGGTCCCTGTTAAATTTTCTGTCTTCACAAAGGGACTTCTGATCTCACTCCACCCACCACTCTTAAGAGCTCTGCAGACGGCTTTCCTGTGCCCTCTGGCGGCCACTCTCTATACTGCACATTTGCAGTTCCTTCCCCTTGTTCTATCCAACCCTGGTCGGCCTCTGCGGATCTATTCCAATTTGTTTAAATATTTCCAAGTGTGTCGTGCCCAGGGAAGATCTCAAGAGATAAAACTAGAAGCGCTTAGCCATTGGACACTGATTGGTTTCTGTTCCTTCACAGCTGGAAAAAGTAGCTGTTACTTGTACCGTTTCCTTGCTGATTAACCGTCTTGTAGTAAAGGTTGAGGTCTAAGTTCCCCGGGTGCTGTTTGCATTTTTCTAGCAATTCACTAAACTCCAGGGAGCCAGCTCAGCTCCACAGACTTCTGCTACCCCTGATTTTTGTCAGCTTTAATAACCACCTTGGGAACTGACAAATTGAATTAACTATATGCTACTGAGTCTAGGAGCCATGGCTTTGACGTCAAATAAACCTGGTTCAAATCATGGCTCTGCCTCCTCCTACTGTGTGACTCTGGGTTATTTAACCTCCCAGAGCTTCAATGTTCTCTTCTTTAAAATGCATTTAAACCAACCTCACGGGCTCCGTGTGGAGGTAAAATGAGATCATGCCTGTTAAAGCATCTGACCTAGGGCTTAGGATGAAAAGTGTTCAAAGTACAGTTATTATTCTATATTAATTCAACAAATGTTAATTCATTCATTAATTCTACAAATAACCATTCAAAAATTCACAACACACCTGAAATGCTCTGGGGGGCAGGGAGCAAAAAACCAGAAAAATAATCATGCAAGTACATACTTACAAACCATGCTAACTGCCCAAAGAGAGAAACATATTGGGTTCTCTAAAGATGCAGCCTAGCAGGAGTGGTCAGGAAAGCCTCCCCCAAGGAAGTGATGTTTGAGCTGAGAGTTAAAGGATGATTAAGAGTTGGTTTAGTAACAAAGTCGGGACAATGGATATTCCTGGCAAGGCAAACGGCATCTAAAAAGGTATTAAAGCGAGAGGGAACCTGGCATGTTTGAGAAACAGAAAGAAGGCCACTGTCATGGAAGCACAGGCAACAGGGGAGAGTGACCCAGACAGGGGCCAGGCGATGGGTCTTTGCCCTGAGAGCAGTGGGAGGCGATAAGTCCGAGGTGTGAGCAATAGGTGGTGACATGACTGACTGAATCACACTCACAGCTCACTCTGCTTTCAGGGTATAGAGCAGATTGAAAGGGTCAAGAGGGTGCGGGGCATCGCTGCTAAAGAGGTCCAGGCTCGCAAGATGGCAGCTTGGATGGAGGTAGCATGGTGGACATGGGATGGGGGTGACAGACTCAAGAGAAATTGAAGAAAGCATCGACCAGTCTTGATGATAAGTTGGATGAAGGCAGAGTGCGAGAAAGGCTCCCTCTGGCGGACTCCTGGATTTCGTGGTATGCACCTGGACCAGCAAGGGTACCTTTTACTGGGCCACCTGATTGTATGGTTAAGCTTCCTGTGGGGTTGGAGTACGGTATACTAGACATTAGCAGGAAGACGGCAGGAGAAACTGAAATGAATGAGACATCTTTTATCTTTGTGGAGTTGCCACAGTTAACAATTCACCGAGCAGCTGGGTTGATTTTGGTACAGTGTGGTCTGACCAGCTGTCCCATTAATTCTCTCATTGATGTCTACGTGCCTCCTCCCAAGACTTACACTGACCTTTCCCTTTATGAAAGATCCATTCTGCAGTCAAGAGTAGCCGCACTTCCCTGCGAAAGTTCCCAGCAGCTAAATCCAACCTGATGTATAAACTGTCCCAGACAAAGGGGAGGGTGTTGGGCTTGGTTTCAGGAGATGAAGGGTGGGCTGGGGAGGGGAGGGGAGTTCAAGGTGTGGTCAGGCCTGGGCATGGAAGCCCGAGGGCCACCCCCCCCCCGCAGGGATGTATTTAATGAGTCAAGTCCCTGCCTGATCCTTTGCTGTCTTCTCTAGGGGACCATGGTCCTGACCAATTTGACTGCACTGCACAAAGACCCTGCAGAGTGGGCCACTCCTGACACCTTCAATCCAGAGCATTTTCTGGAGAACGGACAATTTAAGAAAAGGGAAGCCTTTCTGCCTTTCTCAATAGGTGAGTTGTAATAAATAGGAGTGTGGGAGCCCCAAGCCCCTCCCTCACCCCTCCCCTGCAGTCCCTTGCTTTTGGTGGAATGTCTCCAGACACCACTACCAGTGCAACTCCATCTGGCTGTTGGTGACAGCCCCAGGATTTCCAGAGCTGGGTAGCGGGCGATTCAGACTGCCCTTACTTCCGAAGCCTCTTCTTGCCTCTGCTGGAGAGTTCAGCGTTCCCCAGTACACTGGGGACAGAGACCCAGACTCTGCCTCTTGTTCACAAAGGAGATTGGGCGTCTGTGCCATCTTTACTGAGTTTTAACGTATTCCAATTTCTTTTAAAGGGACACCCACTCACATGGAAATAGAGCTGATCTATAATAAGGAGATAGGGAGAGGGCAAGGGAAAGGGATACTTATTTACCACATGGGCATCAGTCAGTGACTCTAAGTGCCACTGGCTTAATTAGATTGGGTTCTCTCTATAAATACTTTCTGTAGAGGTCCTTTTGCCTTTTTACATTTTAATTACCTTTTACAAATCCCGTTAATACATTTATATGGTATGCAACTTGAAAGTAAGAAAGAGGATTCAGTGGAACTCTTTCTCTCCAGTTTCTAAGCTAGCCAGTTCCAGAAGAGTATTTGTAACTCATAACATTGAAAAATCAATAACAGGACTTCTTAATATATTCCAGGTATTACATGAGATGTATTGCATAGATTATTTCAAATAAGTTCCCAATTTCTTATTGCCATTAATATTTACTGAGCAATTGTTATATGTCAAGCACTCAGTCCTAAGGATATGAAAATGAAAACTAAACAGAAAACAAAATGAAACAGCCCCCGTGGTGCATGTGCTCTAGTGTAACCTTACGATGTTCAAATTACTATCCCCACCTTGGAGATAAGGAAACTAAGTCACAAAACACACATGGTAGAGCCAGGACTCAATATCAACGAGGTTTATCAAAAACTAAAGCTGCAGTCTTCCCACACCATCTACTAAAATAACTAAATGCTACACAAATCCCCAGTGTAGAATACCTGAGAGTTTGCTTGCCATTAACCTAAAATAACAATTTGTCTTAATATTCTGAGACAGGATCATTTTGCTGATGAAGGCAGTCAAGCTCAGACAGGGAGGAACTGGAATTTGAGCTCATGTTGGTGCGACTCCAGTCTCTGCTTTCCCACTATGCTGTGCTTTCCTACGTGTCCCTGGGCTGATTCTGATTAGATTATCTTTGTATTTCTTCATCTGGTTCCAAGTCACCTTTGCTCACATTGGACAACTCACTTCTAATATGAAAGCTCGTATAAGATGTAGGAATACCTTCCAGTCTTCCTGTCTACAATCGTCTTGAGTTTTGTATTACAGCACCAAGTTTCAGCTGTATACTTCCATTATTATAATTTTTTTTCTTTTTTTTTTTGAGTTGGAGTTTCACTCTGTCACCCAGACTGGAGTGCATTGGCCGCTTCCGGCCACTGCATCCTCGACCTGCTGGGCTCCGGTGATCCTTCTGCCTCAGCCTTCCGAGTAACCAGAATTACGGCATGCGCTACCACGCCCAGCTGATTTTTTGATTTATTGTAGAGATGAGGTCTCGCTGCCCAGGTGGGTCTCGAACCCGCGGGCTCAGGCAATCCACTCACCTCAGCCTCCCAAACTCACGGAATTACAGGCTAAGCCACCGAGCCATTACTATAATTATTCCTGATCTTTGGCTTTTGCACCACATCCGTGAAATGCTGACATGTAGAAATGGGACCCTCTATGCATTCCACAAAAATCCTTCACCTACTGTAACTGTGATGAGATGACTCTTACTAGATGTCCATAGCTTTAAAAAAAAAACAACAAGGATCCACTAGGCTCAATGATGACTTCCATTCATATGACAGAAGCCTCTTCCTTGCAGTTGCTTCATATCTCCCTGTTTAAAATAAATTCTCTCATCCACATTAGCTATAGTATTAAAAATATATATATACCGGGTGAATCACTGGTGCTTTGCTCTTAAGAACTGCATTATCTCCTCTTAATTAGAGTCTTATTTTGCAAGCAAATTATCTCAATCAATCCTTACAACAATCCAGTTATTACTAGTTAGGCGGGATTGATAGCTCTTTTTTAGTATAAAAGAAATGAAAAATAAGAGGAAATTTTTTCTTATCCAAGATCATATGCTCTCTCAAGTACAACTAGAATGTAACTTACTCCCCCATTTGAAGGCCCTGCCACTTTAAGACTCACTGATTTCATATCATATGAATCAGTTAGCATACTGCTACATAACAAACAGTCCAAAAACTGGCTAAAAACAATAAGAAGGTGTTATTCCTCACAAGTCTATACATCGGATATGTGGCCCTGCTGATCTTGGCTGTTTCTCTTGATCTCTCTGATCCCAGCTAGGAGGCCAACTGACTGAAGGCCAGTTTGTTCTCAAATCTCGTTTCACGTTATCTTTCCCCCAGCAAGTTAGTCTGGTTTGTTCACATGGTGGCAATAGGATCTCAAGAGGGAGAATGGAAGCACAAAGTCTTCTTAAGGTCCAGATGGGGACTGGCACACCATTACTTCTGTCGCATTCTGTTAGCCAGTGCAACTTACAAGGCGAGCCCCAATTCAAGGGGAGGTGAAATTACAATTTTTTATGGGAAGAGCTATGATGTCAAATTGTAAATGATGTGAATCCAAGGAGAGAAACTGGAGCTGTTTGTCCTCACCATCTCTCTCTCCCAGACTGAGAAGAATTAGATTCAGAGAAGGCAAGCAAATTGCCTGGGGAGTCTCACAGAAGGTGTGATAGAATGAGCACCAGTTAAATGGAACAGGAGACGGAAACATCAAGAATTCCATGGGTTAACAAAACATCAGCACACAGCAGTCTGGTTTTTCCACCACACACCCATCTTTGGCATGCAGTTGCTTTTCCTCACTTTCTAAAGTCAGCCTCCCTGGAAGAATGGGGTGTGGCGTGCAGCCTCCCTTCTTTGGGGAAAGATGACCAGGGGTGGAATTAACTACATGTACATAATTAGGACAGATTGCAAAACTTTATTGAAATTTTATATTTACTTTTCCTAATTTAGATTCTGTTTGGCCTATCAAAGCCACAGGCAACTTCGTGAAAGGCAGAAGTCTAGGTCCTTAATTTCCAAATAAAATCATTAGATTATAGAAAATAGGGTTGGAAAGAACTACCAAAAACCTAGGTCAGTCCTCTCAATTTGCTACTGAGATAGTTGACCTGGTTGGCTAGTGATGACCAGTTAGTGGAAGCATCAGGAAAAGGGTCCAAGTATCCTTTTATCCAGACCAAAGCTTTGATAATCTTTAGGCAAATTCATACCTGCCATCTCATTGGGATCCCTGACCAGCCATGTAACATATTGAGGAGAAAGATTATTTCATGTATTTGACAAATGAGAACAGGTTAGCTCTGTGAGAATGAATGATTTACTCATAATCAGACAGTTGGTTACTGGTGGGGACAGTTCTTTAATGCTGATTCTTGACTTTCTAGATCCAGTGTTTTCATGATATATAGATTCCTCTACATAGAAGACTCTTGGGTACTTACAATACACTGATTTGGTACCATTTTGACAAATTGCTAATTGTACTGTTTGGATACAAAGATAAAGATGAGGGAAACAGAGATGAATTAAACACACTCTGGTGGGAAACACAGGCACAAAACAATAGAATAATAGCATAATCGTGAAGCACATTTGCATTTACTAAGTACTTTTGCATACATGATCTAATTTTATTTCCTCAACAGCCTGTTATAGACAAAGGACAAATGTAGGCACGCATACATTAACAAATTTCCAAGAATATTAACTGGAAGAATACAAAGTGGCAAAAACAGCATACAGAATTAATTACAGACAGTTGTACCTGTAGAATCTGTAGAATTGCACCAAGACAATGAGAAAATGTGTCAAAATGTTAACAATGATTTTGTCTGGATGATGGGATTACACACATTTTTTAGTTTCTTCTTTATACTTTTCTTTTTTACACTTTTTTTTCTTTGTGTGGGGAATATTTATTACCTAAAGAGAAAGTAAGATATTAAAAATTTACAGCTGGGCTTGGTGGCTCAGCCTGTAATCCCAGCACTTTGGGAGGCCGAGGCAAGTCGATTGCCTGCACCCGTGGGTTTGAGACCAGGCCAGGCAACTTGGCTAGACCTCATCTCTACAATAAATTAAATATTAGTCAGGTATGGTAGTGTGCTCCTGTAGTTCTGGCTACTTGGAAGGCTGAGGTGGAAGGATCGCCGGAGCCCAGCAGGTCGACGCTGGGGTGGCCGTAGGTGTGCCACTGCACTCTAGCCTGGGCAACAGAGTAAGACTCCAACCCTAGTTGTTAGTGACTGATGTGGGATATTGTAGCCCAAGTGGCGTGATGGCATTCATGCAAGAGAGGGTCTCAGAACACGAGTGAGATGAGGAGGAGTCTGCACGGGGTGGCTGTAGCAGTAATGGGAGATAAGTTATATACAAGGGATACCAATCCAACAGGTAGATGTATTGAGGGTAGTGGGAGGAAGTTACAAATAAGGAAAGGGAGAAAAATGGAATGAACTCTGGGGTGCTGGATTGTAGTAGGAGGTAATTTATATGAACTCAGATTGACAGATATAGAAATGCAGATGTAAATATGGGTGTATATACACACATTTGGATATAAGCTCACATTATGTACATACATATACTCCCCAGCTCTGTCCACAGAAATGACCTAGGATCAATAGCATCTGGAGAGGAGGGAGGAAGACTAATGCCCAGACCTTGATTTCTACGTGTTATTATCCACTAAAAGGAACCAGTACTTTTGCATAAACGGCTTATTCCACTAAAAGGAACCAGGACTTTTGGAAAAAAATGCCTGATTTCAGGGCTGGGGAAGGAAACGTACAAGATAAGCCTGCAGCCTATTTTGGTGCCAAAAAGACAGGAAATGCTGACCTGAATAGTCTCTAATGGGCCTCTAAATCTGGGGTATTTTGAGCACCAAAGCAAGTAATGATAGAATAGATTACAAACGGGATAGAATTGAGTACAAATGGGAATCCCATAAATCCATGTTGATATAAAGAAATGAGTGAGTAAATAAATGGGGAGGAGGGCAGCATTTCCTGCAGTAGAATGCTAACGAATACATGAGGCAGAGATGATGGAATTCTAAAAACCACAATTCAGCAATCACTAGTCATAAATAACTTGATCAAGAAATAGCAATGAAAACTAGTGAATGAGAGTTTAATGAGGAATGGTTCACTAAGATAGGCTCAGATAAGTTGTTAGTTCCAAAGAGAAAAAGATTAATTTTACAAGGGAGAACTTGAACTCCACCTTGGCCAAGTGAACACCAGTAAGGGACAAATCAAAATTGCATATCATCTGATAGGATAAAATGAGAAGGACAGAGTATCTCTTCAGTGATATTCCTACCAAAAATTTAGAACTCCACAACATGAATCCAATCATGAGGAAACATGAGAGACATTTACAAAATAACCAGTCTGTAATTACTGAAAAGGCCAAAGCCATGAACATTATTTAAAAGAGTGAGGAATTATTCCAGACTACATGAGACTAAAGAGACACCACAGCTAAATGCAACATGTGATACTGCACTGGACCCTTTTCTAATAAAGGACAATATTGAGACAGCTGGCACACCTGAATGGGATCTGAGGATAAGATGGTGGTAATGCATCCTTGTTAATTTCCTGGCTTGGGTGGTCATACTATGACTATGTTGGAGAATGTCCCACGAAAGTACGTACTACAGATTTCATGGGTAATGTAGGCAATTTACTTTCAAATCGTTTGGGAAAAAAATTTCTGTGTGTTATTTTTGCAAGTTTTCTGTACAATTTATTTCAGAATAAAAGGACTTTACAGAAAGTAAAGAATTATAATGTATAGAAAACTATTTTAATAACACTATCACCCAAAAAGTTTGATTTAAAAGGCTTTTACTTTGTATTCTTCTGTTTCTTAAGCATTAACCAGGTCAAGTTAACAACAGGCTGTTGTACAGTTAGATTGTTTATTATCCAAGTGACATTTTGAACTATTTTGTTTTGAAATACTGTGTAAATTACTACATTACTTGGCCAACTTGGATTCAGCCTGCACAACACACAAAATAAAGTTCTCATCTTAAACACATACACAATTTCACTGATGCCTTGAGAGGTATTTAATTTGTTCCAATCACATGGCAAGAAAGTGGGTGGTGTTGAATTGACTTTCCATCCTCTTTCTCCAGTTCAGCCCCACGTAGCAGGGAATGGGACACGGCCAGGGCAATGTTGAGTGTGAGCTGTGGAGAGCAGGATTCAGCTTCGGGCCCCATTTTTGGAGCAATGGCCTGCTGGGGCAGAAGGACCACTGTGGATGAGAAGGACCACTCAAGGAGGGTGGTCAAAACAGTATAGAGAGCCTTACATGGCAGTGAGGTCCTCCATGGTTAAGGAGGAAAGCATGGCACAGTAGAAAGACGGTTCACATGTGGGAACCCTGCTCTGATATTTACTTCCTTATATTTTGGACAGTGTCCTTTTAAGGACTGAAAAACATTAGTGTAGAGTTTGGTTTTGTTCTTTTGTCCTTGCTTATTAGGTGATTTTTTTAAAAGCCTTCAGGCCAGACACCTACTTTCTAGGCTAGCCCAGGTCTTCCACTTGTATAGTCCTATACTCTGCACCTTCACCCCAGAACCCTGAAGGCACTTGACTTTGTGGTTCTGGATTTCTGCTTCCTGTTCTTTGGTGAACCCAAGTAGTTGTTAGACATAAATAAGCTGCTGGCCCTAAAGTCCCAGGGCCTATAGGACCTTCATCTGCTCAGGCTCTGCCAGGTGTGGTTGAGAGATGCCAATCCCTGCTAGGCACAGTGCCACCTGAGACGATGACAGCTGTCCTTTGATTTTGTCTTTCAGGAAAGCGGGCATGCCTCGGAGAACAGCTGGCTAAGTCGGAGCTGTTTATTTTCTTCACGTCCCTCATGCAAAACTTTACCTTCAAGCCCCCAAGCCATGAGAAGTTGAGCCTGAAGTTCAGAATGGGCCTCACCGTTTCCCCAGTCAGCCACAGCCTCTGTGCTGTTCCTCGGGCGTGATGTCGTCAGGGAAGGAAAGGGGAAAGCAAAGTAAGAAGACATGGCATGTGTTCTAAAGCCCCTGTGTTGCCTGCTCAGACGTGGGGCGGGGGGGGCAAAATGAAAGTGTCTCTGAAGAAAGATCAGAGGAATTGGACTCACAGGAAACTAGATCCCAATCTCAGCTCTGCCATCTCCTCCAAATTTGCCTTGGGAAAATCACTTGTGTTCTAAACGATTTACCTTTTCATCCAGGAGATGAAAAGAGGATAACGATTCCTTCCCTAAAGAAAGTTCTTGTAAGGATCAAAGGAAATAGTAGACTTTAAGTGGTCTGTAAACCATAAAGCACATCATAAACATTAATAGCTTTCTTCCAGCCTCCTTTGTTAGACTTGTATTTTCTTCTGGCCTGTTTGAGATAGCTCAGGTCACAGTCACAGTGTTGCAAAATGGTGGATAAGAGTTAAAAGTGGGTCCTGGGAGCAACTGCAGAGGTGAACCATGAAGTCTTTCCCATTTGGTAGTACTGCTCATAGTTTATCTTGTTGCTGCCTCAGAATGATCCTCTGAGAAGTTAGCAGGGCAGGTATTATTCCCTGTTTGCAGACAGGGAGAACAAATGTTAAAACAGTTCATGTGGTGTACATAAGGAAATATTACCTTAGCCTCTGACCAGGGCCAAGTAGGGTGTGACCACAATTAACTAATCTGGGAAGGAAGTTTGGGGGAACAAATATGGAAATACTTTCTGTCTTTAACAGTACTTCCTTGCCTTAAATCCCCCATCATGCATTTATTCCTGAGCTGCTTCATGTTGGATTTAACTATGTGGCGGAAGTGATCTTTTCTTGCAATTCAATTTTAAGCTTTTGGTGACTAGTATTGCCAGCCTAAACTCACCGGACCCTGGTACAGTATTTTATAGCAGGGAATCACAAATTCCAGAAGGCCAGGCAGCATTGATTGTCCAGGGAGCTTTGGCCCAGTGCCAATGTAAACAACCAAAGAAAATATCAGGGAAATGCAACTAAACTGTACAAAAATATATTTTTTTCCTAAGGTGATGTCTTAGTCTGCTTTCTGTTGCTATCATCTGTTTTCTGTTGCTATACCTGAGACTAGATAATTTAGAAAGAGAAGTTCATTTGGCTCATGGTTCTGGAGGCTGGGAAGTCCAAGGGCAATGGTAGCAGCTTCTGGTGAGGGCTTTTCCACTGTTCCATAACATGGAAAAGAGAGAAAGCACAAGGTTCTGTGCTTGCTTTAGATCAACCCACTCTCCAAATAACTAAACTTCTCCCATAAAGAGCAGCACAAATCCATTCCTGGGGGCTCTGCTCTCACGGCCCAGACCCAGTCACCTGTTATTAGGCCCCACCTCCCAGCACTGCAGCATTGGGGACCAAGTTTCAAAATGAGTTTTGGAGGGGTCAAACACCCAAACCACAGCTGGTGGTTAGGCCTAGTTTAAATAGCTTAAAACAAAATGGGCCACAAAGTTATGGGGCTTTTCCTTCCTGCTGTTTAGGGATCGGAGAAAAGCCAGGAAACAGATCAAAAGATGGAGGGGAGGATGCTTGACTGGAATTAGCATAAGCTGGCTGGGAGAGCCAAGAAGAAAGTGTGTTTGGAAGGAATGTTTGTATTTTCAATGTGTGGGAGGAGGCTTTGGTTCTTCTTACCTGGTGAAAGAAAGAATGGAAATGAGAACCCCACCCATGCACTTTCTTTTTTTTTTGTAATCTTCTGGAAAGTTGCATCTCTAGAAAATGGGCCATGTGGTCAGGCACAGTGGGTTCATGCCTATAATCCCAGCACTTTGGAAGACCAAGGTAGGAGGATGTTTTAGTCAAAGAGTTCAAGACCAGCTTGGGCAACATAGTGAAACCTCATCTCTACAAAAAATAAAATAAAATAAAATAAATCTGGGCATGACAGTGCATGCCTGTAGTCCCAGCTACTCGGAAGGCTGAGGTGGGAGGATTGCTGGAGCCCAGGAGGTTAAGACTGCAGTGAGCCAGAATCATACCACTGTACTCCAGCCTGGGTGACAGAATGAGACTGTGAAAAAAAAAAGAGAAAGAATTGAAGAGAAAAAGAAACCATCAAACCAGGTGAAGTGGGGACCAAAGGGAGGCCCAAAGTTTACCTGTACAATGGCCACTTATCTACCTAATCCTGAATTGTACCCTACATCTTTAAAATAAATAAAAATAAATTTTAAAAAGTACCATTCCTTGAACCTAGAAAGAAAAAGAAAACAGGCCAAGTGATATTCCAAGAATAAAACCTGTCAAATCAGGCCTTGACTTGAACCTTGTCTTCCTTGTTTTTCCTCCAATCAGATCATCCAAGTAGGAGACTCAAATGGAAACTGGCCAAAATACTTTACACGATATGTCCCAGTTTCCTCACCTATAAAACAGAGGACTTTGTTGACATTACCTCTGAGTTCCATTCCTACTCTGCTGTGGGTTTTCCTTGATTCCAGAAGGGGAGATACACACCCATGACTTGGGGGAATAAATATAAAACCACTGGGAACTCATCCTGACCTAATGGATGCAGTGGGACCCAGGGCCAAGTAGGATGTCAGCACAATTTACCAGGAGCTGTGAGGGATGACTATAATTAAATGTTCTGACCATATAAAAATGTTCTCTTTCCCCCCCCCAAAGCTTTCTCTAAAATATGAGTCCCCTTCTTATCCAAGCATTAAACACCAATTTCGTTATACACTTTTGTTATACACACTTATTCCTCCACCTAATTTAGAAGCTCCAGGACCTCTCACCACCCCCCCCCCTTTGTGTGAGTACCTGACACACAGTGTGCAAACAATATAACAGGATCCGTGGCATCATGGAGGAGGCGTGGCTTTTACCAAAAGGCACCAGGCTGTGAATCTTCTCTCCACCACTCTCCTGCAGGGAGGCAGACACACAGCTGCAGTGGACATTAAAAATTGGATTGGTGGGCAAAGGACTTAAAGCAGAGGAGCAGAACACAAAAGATCCTGAGCTTTTATGGAAGTGTGTCTGGGTTGGACACAGCTGGACTGCATACTGCAGGAGGAGGACACTAGATCCAGGAGAGGTGACCAAGTAGCAAGGACAGCTTCCTAGATGAGGAAGCAGCTCTGTTAGAACAGGAAACTCCAGACACCCTGGTGTCAAGCTGCTCACCCCTTGAGCCTGCTGAGTTAGCTTTCCTCTAAGTCATGGAAAAGGCGGGGAGCGGGGGGGTATTGGGGATGAGTGCGCATCTGGGTTTGTCACTCTTCAACTCCTTACTGTGACTTTGAGCAAGACATTTAAACCTGCAAACATCCGCCATCTTCCTCTAAGACACAGGTATGAGAATAGAAACTTCACAGCGAAGTGGTAAGGATCCAGCTCAAAACCATGAGAGCCCATCTGCAGCACAAGACTCGGTAGGGTGCAGGGCAGAAGCAGCTTTATACTCACCTTACTCCCACTTCCACCACACACGACGGACTTCTTCTTTTTGCCAGTGAGTGGAGTTTCAGGCAGAGCCCACCCCATTCTTACATAAAAAGTATGATGCTAAGTCCACAGTCACTCATATCTTTGTTTCCCTATTCATACAGAGTCTTTTGTCTTCCAGCAGTTAAGACTTTTTTATTGGTTTATCATTATTCCTCAGCAATTTGGTTAAAATGTATCTTGGTATGGTTTTCTTGTTTATTTTGATTGGGGTTCATTGAGCTTCTTGTATCTGAGTTTACTATTTTTAGAAAATTTGATTAAATTTTGGCCATATTTTTTGAATATTTTTTCTGAACCCACACCCTCCTCCCATATTTCTTAGATTTAAGTCACACATATTAGACTCCTTGATGTTGACTCTCAGATTCTATTAATTTTTTTTCAGCCTTGCTTCTATGCTTTAGTTTAGAGACTTTTTTTAAAAAAAAATTTATTTTAAAGACATGGGGTACATTCAGGGTTAGGTATACAAATGTTCTTTATGCAGGTACCCTTGTTAATAAAGTGTGTCCCCCCCTCCCCTAGCAGATTCCCACTACTGCCTATCCCACCCCTCCACCCTTGGCAGTTTCCCACTACTGCTAATCCTTTTCTTATAATATTATGATAATTATTCAAGGTTTGCTTATGAGTGAGAACATGTGATACTCAATTCTTTGTTTCTGTGATACATCACTCAGTATTATAGACTCTAAGCCCATCCAGGTTGCTGTGAAGTTCATGATTTTGTCCATTATGGCTATGTAATATTCCATCATGTATATATACATTTTAAAAAATACAGTCTTATTTTGATGGGCAGCATGGTTGGTTCCATGTTCTTGCTACTGTGAACAATGCTGTGATAAACATACATGTGCAGGTATCTTTTTTTATAGAGTGATCTGAGTTCTTCTGTGTATATTCCCAGTAGGGGGATTGCAGGGTCATATGGAAGGTCGATTTTTAGATCTTTTAGGAATCGCCACACTGTTTTCCACAGAGACTGTACTAGTTGACACTTCCACCAACAGTGTAGAAGTGTCCCTTTTCCTCTTATCCTCTCCAGCATCTGTTGTTTTTTGAGTTATTGATGATGGCCATCCTGACTGGATCTCAGTGTAGTTCTAATTTGCATTTCTTTGATGACTAGTGAGGCTGAGCATTTTTTCATGTATTTTGTTGCTGTTCATATGTCTTCTTTTTAGAAGTGTCTATTCATATCTTTTGCCCACTTTTTAAAAATGGGGCTGTTGGTTTTTTTCTTTTCGGCCCATTTGAGTTCCTTGTAGATCCTAGATGTTAGGCCTTTGTCAGACATACAGTTGGCAAATACTTTTTCCCAGTCTGTGGGGCTGTCTCCCTGTTCTCTTCTTGGGTTGTCTTTGCAGATGCTTGTCAGTTTGATGAGGTCCCACTTGTCTATCTTATCTCTTATGGCATGGGCACTTGGGGTTTTGATCAGGAATTGGTTGCCAGTTCCAATTTCCATAAGGGTGTCTCCTGCATTTTCTAAGGTTCTTATAGTTTGAGGTTTTATGTTTAGGTCTTGGATCCATTTCGAGTTGATTTTTGTATATGGGGATAGGTAGGGGTCTTGTTTTAAACTTCTGCATGTGGTCAGTCAGTTTTCCCAGCACCATTTACTGAATAGGTTCTACTTTCCCCAGTCGTTGGTGGTAGAACCTTTGTTGAAGATGAGTTGATTGAGAAATTGAGGTTTTACTTCCAGAATCTCTATCCTGTTCCATTGGTCTATATGCCTGTTCTTGTACCAATACCAGGTTGTTTTGATTATTGTTGCTTTATAATAAATTTTAAAGTCTTGGAGTATGATACCTCCCGTACCTCCTGCTTTGCTTTTTTTTT